ATAACTGAAATGCATGTTTTAATTGGTCTTTCTGTCCAATTTTATTTAGAAGGCTCTGTAAACATTTGATCTCCATCATAGCTGATGTACTATATCACAAGTTCCTATAGAGAGCATTGCTGAATCTTTTCAGAAGGCTGAAGACAAAAATAAGAACATAGAACAATGCGATATGAATCTAAGTTTTCAGTTATACAGAAGATAAATATTGTGAATGGTGCTTACAGAAAATAATTTTACATATCAGTCATTACAATATTCTGACAGTCTCCATAGTGACAAAATAATAGCTAACTAATACAAGCCATAAAACCTAGGAGTTCTAAGCTCTGTAGATATTGCTTATTGTGCAGAGGGTAAGACCTGTTATGACTGGCACTCTGACATCCCCCTGTACTAATCTAATCTATTTCAGACTCATCTGCCTGCCTCATGGCTTCACGTCTGTAGCCACATTGAAATAGTAATGTGAAAACCAGGTCTGCTAAAGCTGGATCAATTTCCAATTCATGTCTTTTGCACTCACAAAGGAGGCTGCTTGGGAGACACGCAGGTTCACTGACAGCCGGCGGTGACATCGGCGCACCGCGGCGAAGCAGAGCATCCTGCTTCTGTGACAGAAGTGATATTACATAAATGAGTAATGACATCACTGACTTTGCATCATGACAGATCAATGATCACCAGAGCACTTGAGGCCATCTTTGTGATCCTGGGGGGGCTGACTTTGAAATTGTTTAGTGAGGATGAAGAAATTTTGAAAATTAAAAAAAAATGTCTATGTACAGTATATAACCTGAATCTCATTTTACCCTTTGCTGTAGTAGACATGCATTCAAAAGAATGTAGGTCAAGCAGTACTAGTTGCTTCGCTTACGTACAGTATATGATGAATTTAAATAAAAACCTAACTTCTAAGTGACAGTACAAGGTGTGGCCTTTCTTTGTAATATCAGGAATCAATATTCAAAGCACTAAGGTGTTTAAATCCTCGTTGCTTAATGAAGGGATTTAAGTGCATAACTAATTTTAATATAGGCCCCTCATAGTCCGCAAATGACTGTGACTACTACCTCCTCAGTTCCCTGACTATTGTTAGATAAATGTAGAATTTATAAAGAGTTCTGTATCCTCCATAGCATATTGTAAAGTAGTAAAAGAAAGCTTCATTAAAAGACTCCTGGACTTTCTTTCTAATTCACAGGAAATTGCAGCACAAATTTCTTTAATACTGCACAACAGGCATTTCAGACTCTGTTGTTTTCCCTCAAAAGTGTGGTATATTTCCCTATAGAATTTCGTTAGCTGGAGGGAACAACTGAATTTTCAAAGGTTAGCCTTGTTTTCAAAACTAAAAGTAAAATGCAATTGGTACTGGTAGAGGGTGTTTTTAATTTCCCTGACCAGTACACGTGAGTATTTAATACTTTCAGGGTTATAACAAAATTCCTCATTTATCCTCAAAAATTGAATGAAAATATCATATTTCAGAATATCCTCTTCTACATTCAATCATATTGCTCAAGCAAACTGTTCCACTACGCATCCTACATTACCATCTTTTGTGCAGGAAATCTATTGGTGTTTCACAATTACCATACCCTATTAACATTTCATTAGGAATAACAGCACCCAAGAATTATGTGTACTGAAAGGATTATGAAGTCAAATTTTGTCTTTGGTCAAAATTTGGCTTAACCTGCTTGGCTGAGAGCTAACCTCCTGGCCAGAGAGCAAGGAAGCTGGGACCCCCACCCAGAGTGAGGAGTGACCAAAGGGCAGCTGCAGAGGTAGAGCTGGGGTGGAGGAGTGATTGCAAATTACTGACAGCCAAGTCTGAAAGTGGCTGTTGTCATCCCTGCCAAATTTTCGTTATAAACTCCATTTCTTACCACATTAACAACAGAAGTCCTTCTCTGACAATGATTTATCACAATGAACACTTTCGTATTTCATCTATATGACAACATCTAGGATAACAGCTGTTGTTTCAGGTTCTGATATGGCAACATAACTCAGAATTTTGCATTGCTTTTCCAGATTACAAAAAAAAATCTCTGTGTACCCATATACTGTTAAGCAAAGTTTTGAATGTATGTCATGATTAGAAAAAAAATGAAAATCATCCTGCACTACAGTATGTGTCTCTAAGAAATTAAGTGTATGTGTGTTATAATTCTGTGCATTGAGATGGGTAGCTGATGTATGCATACTGTAGGTAATATGATCAGTTTCAATACTGTTATGCTCTTACTGCAGAACCGATGTTCCGATGAACCGATGAGTCACATTCCTAGGTAACACACTTGAAAAAGATACTTTACCCAAATACATTCAACAAAATACCCAGCTATATTAAGTAAATGGGTGCAAATGTAAATTGCTTTGTATAAAAATGACACTATGGCTTGCTGTGCCAAAACATGATGTGAAAACCATTTTTTTAAGTTCTACAGTAGATGTTGTTTTTAAATTATGCCAAGGTATCAGTTTTGAGAACATAGCTGAGTACTGAGTACCTAAAACCCTTTGTATAAATGTCATCTATTCATAATTTAAATGAACTTTCCACCAGTGTCCCTTGAATTGTGTTTGTCAATTCAGTTGACTTTGTAAATTTCTGAGGATTTTTAATACTTGAATTAACTCCACTCATAGTCTTCTTAGCCTAAGAAATGTCTTTGTTTTGAGAATATAAAGTGCAATTTCTCAGACCTAACAAATAAAAATGAAAATAATGTAAGCTGATGCTCACATCAATTCATTGATTCAAATAATGTGAAACAATAGAATTTGGATTTTGACATCAATTCATTGATTTTTTTGCATGGATAAAGGCCATTTAGGAAGTGTTTTTGGATACATAAAACTGTACATACTGTATGTAGCAAAATGTGGTACAATATTTTCACTCTTATTTCAAAAGATTAAATATTGTACCTTAAAATACATTTTTATGTAAGTTAATGGTTGTTTATAAAGTGGTACATATATTTCAAACTTTAGCAGTCTAGTTTTAATCCAACTTAGAAATTATTTACATAGTATTTTAAAATCACAATTCACTCAAGACAGAAATATTGTGAAACTCATGTCAGTGTTTTTTATCATTTAATGCTTGGTTTTTTTTTCTGTATTCAACATTCCCCACTGAATTTCTTTCTGGAATACTAGGATCTGTAAATGACACACTGTTACCTTAGATAATAGCATTCCTAAAATGAAGACAGAATGTCAGCTGCAGCACTCTTGTATGATCTCTAAGTAAGGATGTATTGTCAGTAAACTGGAATTCTCTGGGATATAGTATTCTGTAGTACGACTTTTACAAATTAGGATTTAATCAGTGCTTCACCAACCAGCATTCAACCTGAACTGGTACTTCAAAAAAGTGATATTTTTTGAAGAAACTATGAAAAGGAAAGGGAACAACTGAATGGCAACAGTAGAATATTAGGTTCTGAAAGAGTTTGTTTTGATACCTATAGGCTTTGTCTTTCATACAAACACTTGAATAAAAAATAAATAAATTATCAAGAAAAATTCCCCCACGTACAAGACAAAAATGTGAATAGAAATTCAGGAAATGTAGAAGCGACATTTATCTTTTACAACTGTTTTGTGCATTGTTTCCAGCAATTTCTGAAATGTATTCACAGCTGTGTTTTATTTAGAATTCTGAGAGTGCAGTTGGGTGGCTATTAGAGGATTTATGGTAGTGCAGTGTTCCTGTGGCTGCTGAGTTTAGCTGATTATAAGCAACATGGCAAGCCCCTTAGGGTCCCTTCATTTTCCCGACACACTTCACTGCTGCCCCATTAACACTTCGTCTGTTATCTCCGTACACTCGTTTTAATTAGTATCATTGAATGTGAAGCTCAACACAGAAAAAATGCAATGGTTCAAAAAGCCCAAATGCATCTCTTTAAGCTCCCATTCCCTTTTAACTGCAAAATGCTTCTTATTTTCATTTAAGGAAACCATTTCCCAGCCACCCTGCTGCCAGAGATAAGCCATGGTCTTATTTCTGTCTTGCTGCACTTCTGCATCAGTGTGGAGTCTTTAACCAGTTCAAACCTGAACCTCCTCCATTTTCTTTCCTTTTTTCTTTCTCTTTTCTCGCTATTGCAAGGAGAGCACAAGAAATCAGTTCAGAAACCGATGAGAAGATTGTAACATGTATTGTATTCTCTTGTTCTTTTCATCAGAAATGTGTTAGGAAATTGCCTAAACAATAAAGAAAAAATGGACTCTGTATGTCAGTGCTCAGTCTTAATGCCCAAGACAGACGTGATGATGCCTTTTAGATGTAAGAGGGAGGGAATTTGACTTTTTGAATAGAATATTTTTATCTCAGGTTAAATTCAAATGCTGGATGAACCAACTGATAACTCTTTTGAAGTAACTATCCTAGTTCATTCCTATAGACTAAATCTACTGCTCATGAAAAAATAGAAACAAAGCACTACCTGCAGCAACCCATCAGTGAAATAATTCTAATGTGTTGTCAGTTAGTTTTCCTCAGATTGTGCTCCCACACTTTAAGTGTATCATTGCTTTAAGAAATGTCTTAAATTTAAGAATTTAAGAAAAATGTCTTAAAGCTGGTATAGTAATGGTAAAAAAGTTTAAAAAGTGTGAAATACGTAATGCTGATCATAAAATACATGCAATATTGAATTTTCATTCTCCTTCTTGTGTTACGTATAATTGTCAGTTTTGAAATTCACTTGGCAGGATGATAATTAGCTAGATATATCATGTTGTGTATGGATATCAAGGTGCGTATGGATATGTTTAATGGACCATACTTCGCTCCATAACTTTATATTTCCGCTGTTCTTTTGTTGCATTACAAGAAAGAAAATGTCAGTCTCGGAAGAAGTTCCATTATAATATAAACATATTATTTTGATAATGTTGATTGAGCACATTCTGTATTAATCATACTCTCATGCATTCATATTCTTTACAATATTTATGTTATTTTTTGTTTTTAGAAAATGAATTTGGAAGAGAAGTGGTGAACCATTCACTTTGGAGTACCAACTGCCATAGCAGGCTGAACAGAATAAAGTCTGGACCAAAGAGCAATTACACCCCCAAACGATTTCAGGTACAACTTACCTAAATATAGCTCTCTCCTGAGACTGTTGACAGCAGCTCATTTTCTCTAGTGCCTTTCCCATTTTCCTTCCCTGGCAACCACTCTGATCTTATCTGCCTGCCCCTTCACAAGTATTCAAATGCACTAAAGAAGACTTCTAGCTGCATTTACTGTCACCAGATGATTCATGGCATAAATATCTATTTGCAGTTAAATTGGATAATGCATATGCAGTTTTAGTAGCTCCTATCTCACATAGGAATACCAATGCATGTTCATAACCAGGAAACCTATAAGCTTTACGATATTCTTCTGAAACTTCAAGGTGACACAAAGAGGAACAGACAACAATACATGCCATTCTGCCATTCTGTGTCCTTTTTTCAGTTCTCGGGCAGTAGCTTTTCTCAGTAGTTTTGTAAAAAAGCATACATGAAGAATCTGTTTTCCTTTGTTCACATACCATTTTATATTTAGAAGTCCATGGTTACTTTTTCATATAAAATATGCTTCTCAATTATTTGTATTTGCCTTTTTAGGCAGTCTTCTTCTTCCCCAGTGTCTAGTGAAGTTAAAGAAACCGATCAAACCGGTTCTTCCACAGGAAACTTAATATACTGAGCTCAACAAGCCAGACTTGACCAAATGTTCAAATTTTACATGCTAATTTATGTAAATATGTTCCTAAATATATATATTGATCTATCAAGCCTTTTGATAATAATAATATATTCTTACACATAATTATACATGTAAAAATAAAGTTTTGTCTTCGGACGTTTGTGCCCCAATTGTTGTTGTTTGTAGTCTTTTCTTAGGTGCACTGTGATACAGTATTGTTATAATCCATATAATAGTTCTATGCTATGCATTTTCCTAAAAAGCCACATTCATTGCATTGCATTTTTATAGGGATATCTAAAGTATCAAGAGCCCAGTATTTGGAACAAGTAGTAATTATTACCAATTAAGCCCAATAATTTTGCGGATTAATTTACAAAAAGCTTGAATACAGCAATAAGTGAAAGACACTAATGCTCTCCATTACTGCCCACCCATTTTATGCGTTTTATTTTTCTGCAATAAAAACATTTGAATAAACATACACACATAGAAAATGTTATACAGTACTCAATAAGCCAGCTATCCTGATATGAATACATTTTCTGAATGAAGATCAAACTTTTATTTGCACTTATGGCTTTGGTTTTTGCAAAACCTTTGACCTCCCAAAAAGCAGTTTCTTTACAGTACATCTACTGGAGCTGTAGATGGACCATGTTTCATTCTGATGTAATATAAATTCCCACTTACAAATCATAATTAATGTTTACATTTATTGATGTTATTATGTATGTATCTTTATCATGCTTTTAGTCACAATAAAATTAAGTCATTCTCCAGAGAAAATGTAGAATTATGCTTCATCTAACTTAGATCTTTGTACGAAAAGTACTCACAGATATAAAACCATAAAATCATGGCGGACAGCACCCTTCATCATCAGCATTGATGATGTGATTTTCTTGAAATTCTCATACAATCCTTCCTAGGATTTTCCCGAAATAAGCAGGGACAGGGCAACTTAAATAAATGTACAATTTTATCTGCAACAGACTTCTTTGTTGACTCGTGTATCTCAGAAGCATCTTCTGAAATGGAAACAATTCCTTTTTAAGAGCTCCTGAAGACTGAACAAAACAAATGCAAGCTAGTAAGAACAAATAATTGCAGGCAGTTGTTTGGTACAATAGCCTTCTACATACAGTAAAAACAACAAGTTTCAGATTCTATATACAATTTCTTCATCGAGGATACGGCAGAAAGAAAAATGATAATTCTGTTTATTTACCAAAATGAATCGATTACTAATCGTTTTGTACTGCTCTGCATTCTTCTGAACTTAGAGGAGTAAGAAACCTTAAGAAAATTAATGATTTTATTAACACTGTTGCATCAACATTTTTAAAGCCATAGTTGGCTTCTGTTTATTCACACATTTTAAGGCCATTTAATAACATTTTTCATTAATACCAGACTAAAAACAATAGAAAAAGAAAGTAATCCTAAAACACAAGACGTGCAAAACAAAAAAAAGTATGAAAATACTATCTCTGTCTCGCTGTAGGATGGACCAGCATTTTGGGATTATGAACATTAAAGTTGATTTGTGCTATTACATGTGCCATGAAATATTGTATGTACTTGTGTACCTGCATATTAAATAACAAAACACTGTTTATAGCCTTTTCTCAAGAGCCTTTTCCAGTTAGCAAGGATATTTCTGCATTATGAATGGTACATAAATTGTGTACCAACTCCTTTACCAGCCAGAACATTTCATGTGTCCAACTCTGTATTAAGTGAACTCCACACTGTGTCAATTCATGGATTTATTTTAAAATCTGCCAGATCTAACCTATCATGGAGCTTGATTTTAACAGTCCTCTAGTGCATGAATTTAGCATGGCCAGAATCCTAAATTATTAATAAAATGTTGTACAGGGTGATTACACTTGGAATAGCGCAGTCTCCGAGGCTCTTTAAAATAGGCATGGCCAGGAAACATAAAAGTTAATATATACATAAAGGTTAATATATTTTCACACAATGCAGGAAACAGGGAAAAAGTGGAACACAAAATGAGCTTCTTTCCCTACTGAACTCCAAATTCCTCCCTGTATTGCTAGAGAGCGACCCGAGAACTGACAAGAAACCAAAAAACACCCGAACACCTGTCCGAGTTGCGTCCGCTTCCTGCCTTGATACTTTGCTTAGGCTTTGGTTTTAGATGAAAAAGAAGAAGAATTCATGACACTTATATAGCGCTTTTCTGGACACTCCACTCAAAGCACTCAATGTGCAGCACTTGGATGATGCGACGGCAGCCATATTGCACCAGTATGCTCGCCACACACCAGCTACCAGTGAGGAGGAGAACAGAGTGATGAAGCCAGTTCATAGACGGGGATTATTAGAAGGCCATGATTGGTAAAGGCCAGGTTTTATATCTAATCTGAAGGATAGCATCTTTTTTTACCATACAGTGTCCACATCACTTTACTGGGGCATTTGGACCCACATAGACTGCAGGGTGAGCACTCTCTACTGGTTCCACTAACACCTCTTCCAGCACCAACCTTAGTTTTTCTCAGGAGAGCTCCCAACCAGGTACTGGCCAGGCTAAGACCTGCTTAGCTGCTTCTGCTTCTTCTGCTTCTTTCTGTTCTTCCTGATTATAGACAGTCACCTGATCAAAGTCCTCCATTTTGATTTTTTTTCCTACAGCAAGGCCACAATACGTAGATATGGAAAATATTACGGACGGATGAAGCCTGTAAAGTAGCTCATCTGGAGTGCGGGTTGTGCCGTACTGTCTATGCATTGTGGATTGTAGTCTGACAACGAGTGTCATTAGCAAGCTGTGACAAGAGTTCGCCAAGTGGCAGAACATGAGTAGCCGAGCTCTGCTGGAGTATCATTGCCTTGCACATTCAGTTTATTGTGCAGCCACAATAATTCTTGTGTCTTCCTGGGTGCCCCAGGTTTGAATTGGCTTTGGAAAGCTGTCCATCACCCATTTGTGAGACTGGCAGTTTGTATAAAAAGGGTTCAACAGCACACATCCTAAGGAAGGCATTGTGTTGCTTTTAACCTTCCAGTGCTTGTACTGAGGCCAAATTGACTAACTGTTAGACATCTGGTGACTCCAAGTTTTTCCTGGAAAAGGTCTTTTAAGTGGTAACATAATGCACCATATTTGTGAAGTATAGGTTAAAAATGATAAATACTATAATTATTTTAAAAAATAAATTGTTAATGCTACAATTTACAAGGTTGGTCCAGTTTGGGCATAACTGAAATCCTTCAAATGACTTACAGTATAACTTATAAGATTTAACGTATACCTCGTATTAAGGATTAAGAAGGATATGAAAAAGACTTTACATAATAGAAGAGCAGTTGTACTGAGGGACAAACTTTGTAACTCATGATGTACATTTGAACATATAAACTAGTAATCATTTGTAATTAAAATGCTTTACAGAACATTTTAAATGGTCCTTACATTAATAGGTATTTATTTTTGTTGTCACTGCTAAAGGTTTTACTGTAAAACACTAATTTCAATATGTAATTCATATGGATAAAGTCTAATCATTCAAAGATACTTTCTCACTGTGTGGTTGTAACAGGTGCAATTTTTTGTTTGCCTGGTAATCATGACCAACATTTTGCTCCTAGGTAAGATTTTGATCAGTGGGTAAAACTCTAACATGAGGGTAATGTCTTGGTGCTCGATTGTCAAGCTCAAAGTCAAGGCAAAATTTTATTGGTGCTGTAATGCAATTTTAAACCATTGTGCAGCTTCATAACTAATGCTAGCAGCCATGGTCGGAGCAACCTTTGAGGAGTAAGCTCATTAACATTTCACTTAGGAGTGATTTTAATTATGGCACAAAGCTCATTAGTGTCTTGTGTTTGAATTTTAAAAGAATTGCATTTTAAAAGAATCTCAGGGAGGGTTTTTCCCAGTGCAATTCTCAGGGCAAGCGATTCTGCTGAACAGAAATAGGGGGTGCTGGGCAGAAACCGAAACATTCAAAATCAAATTCGTAAGAACTAAATTAGAAAAGAATATACATTGACAAAATGTTAACTAAGGTTTGTTTGCATTCACCTCTGCGAGTCAAAACTTGGAGGAAGCACAGGTGGCATCAATGACATTTGTGAATCTTCTGCACTGGAATGGTGCAGTTTTCTCCCATTATTCTTTGTGATCTTGCTCAGGCCTTGTCAAGTTGGGGTTTATTGATGGACAGCGATTTTCAAGACCTGTCACAGTCTCTCAATCAGATGCAAGCAGCCAAAGTACTTGTCTAGTTATGTAGAAGTTCAGTTAGGGTTTGCATTGATATACATTACAGTGCCCTTCAAAAACAGTCAGTGAAATCTAAACCGGAACTGTTATGAACTCCACTAATAATTAAATTTAATGAAAAGAAATA